TAGGCTCATAGATCTATTTCCTCATCCTCATATAAATATATTCACATATGTACATGCCTTTATCTAGACCTCTATAAATGCCCTTTTCCTCCCAGCTCTTTCCTCTATTTCCCTTGATTCTCCTCCTGTCCCACTATCATGCACAGTCCCCACCAGGATTTCAGCACTTTCAGGCTAAATCTTAATGAACTGTGCTGCTTTACTAAGTCTGAGGAGCCCTGGTAGCATGGTGGTCAGGCCTTGGACTGCTAACCACCAAGGTCAGCAGTTTGAAACCACCAGCTGCTCCAAGGGTGAAAGATGAGGCTTTCTACTCCCTAAACAGTCTTGGAAACTCACAGAGGCAGTACTTCTCTGCACCCTGTCCTGTAGAGTCACACTAAGAGTTGAAATAGCCTCGATGGCAGTGAGTTTAGTTTATAGTTTGAACTCCTGGGTCTATTCCTTCAATGAATGGGAGAGTTTGGTTATAATAACATGGGTTGAATGGTGGATATGGACAATTAAACAGTAGGGATTTATCAACCCTAACTATTGCCATTATTCTAGGGGTAAAAGGTATTTAATTACTTAATATGAATTCAGTGATAGCTTTGGGTATCAAAAAATACCTTGGTAGTATTAAACATTTGAAAATAAAACCTGATAATAATCATATAAATGAAGAAAAAACCTTATAGGACAAATTGCTATGATCAACCTTCACTTAATTTTATATTTGTGTTTTATTACCAATCACATGCCAGGAATAATTTATCGAGGCATGATTATGAACACAATGTAGTTGGCTTAGCACTTCACATGATTTTCGTCCAATCCTCTCACTTAATATGTAAATCTAATTGTTACACCCATTTCACAGATGAGATAACTGACTCACATAGTGCCAGTTACGAGAACACAGCTGGGACAGAAGCCTAGTTCTCTGGCTCCACTGCCCCCTTCCCCACCACCATACCATTCTGCATTTCTGTGAGCAGTGAAACTATGCTGCCTCTCTACCTGTAAAAGAGACAAGTACTTTCCACATTCCTCGTGGACAAGTGGCTATCTTTAGGGATGTTGTCTTGTCCTTGACCGACAATACTCCTTCACTTAGGAATTGATGCTCTCCAAACCCCAGGGCAGAAAA